CATTTCTGAGACGAAATAGAGAATTCAGTATTTCTATAGAACAAAATAAAATTAAGCTCTTCGTTCTATATTTGCATCAATTTTCTTACCCACCATTTTCACGCATAGATGGATTTATTTACTGTTTCTTTAATTTAAATTATTTCTTAAAATTAAATCCCCTAATATTTATTTATTTCAAATGGCAGGCGTTTTGATAGATATCATTAGCCATTTAGCTGACTTCGGGCTTCACAGAGGTAAGGTTAATCAAAGTAGAAGAAAGTCGAGGGGAGGGGAACAGAGGAGCAATTCACAGATGTAAAAGAGACAAATAGACACAAAGGTAGAGTAAAGCTAAGATGAGTACTGTGAAGGTGTCGAATATGACAAGCAGTCGGGCCATGGTAATTTGAAGTCAGAAGTCAGCTGCCGGTTAATAGACTTTTTTGCCGTATGAGTATACGTTGCCCAGGGTGCACCACGTGGAGGTAAGTCTATCCCACAGCCCAAATCCTCTAATATTGATACCCTATAAGCTCAAAATAACATTTCGTCGAATTCAATGAAATCCCATTTGCATCTCACATCAGGTTTGAGGTGACTAAGTGACCTACCTTAACTTGTGGGGAAATCTATCGAGTAAAGTGACATCATAAAGGATCTGCACCTTATGACGTTCAAAACATAAATAACCGCTCTTCGCAAATTTCAGGCCTAATTTATATTCTATGCCTAACTTGCATCCCTTCAAATCCTCACGGATCTTCATGTTAAGGTCTTACAGTACCTACATCGTCTAACCTCATTAACATTTTTGTAAATTCCTTTAATTCTCAGCATACAAAAAGATGGAGAAGAGCTTAATTCTGCACAAGACTATAATTTGGAAGTAAATGCGTCATAGTAAGCATTTTAGAGTTGTCAAGACGTCTATACAACGGGACGGCTTGTGTCAGCAATTATATCGTGCTGCCTAAATAGGAGGCAGTATCAGAGATAACGAAAGAGCAATCTAAGAAAAAGATATAGACACCACTCAAGAGCCATGTTCAAAAGATGTAGCTGACTCTACTCTACTGAGTTAGAGATATAGGCTGCAGATTATCTTCTTAGACCCTCTACAGCCTCAGTCATTCAAAGTCAAATGAGCTGAAGTGGTAAGACAGACTGAACACTATTGAAAAATAATTGTCAATGTGTGCTGAATATTTTATTCCAACATTTGCTAAAACATGACAGTTTATTTGTGATTTGGAATTTCGCAACCTACCATAGCTTATTTCCCAAAAAAAACAAATGAATAAGAACTGACACTGATTTGAAGCTCTTCTCACGCTATTTAGCCACCCCCCTCCTTTCCTCTCTCCAGTTGATTAGATCAACCATCTCTTTCCGAAGATTACAAATTTCAAGAACCTTTGTGTCATTAATGGTATTTATGGCAATGGCATTAATAATGATAATAATAAATGAAAAAGTACCAAAAATTTATTCGCTCCACACTTTCAAGTAGCAACTCGGAACTGTGGGAAGAAAAGTTAAAAGCTTAAACGACCTGCTTGCTTTAACAGAAGAAACTTTTTAAAATGCAAACTAGTGTCCATAATGTCGGTAGATTATTGGAAAGTGGGATAATCTTTCCCATATCTTAAAAGTTCATTTGTTTTGAACGGACGAATTTTGAAGTTTCTTTCTGTGAGAATTTTACCTCTGTGAGGCTTCTGATAGGGCGTAGATCATGACTGAATGCAAGGCTTAAGCATCATATTGGCAACGTGAAAATTACTGAGGAGGGGTTTAAAATTTCTAAAAAAGCGTAACTTAAAAAGTCAAATATTATTTTGAACAATTGTCCTGAACACCTTCTACTTAGAAACGGTTCCACGATGAAATATAAACCTTTGTTCACTTTAGTGTTTGTGAGATGTTTCTTGTTACATGATCCAGGCAGGGAGTCCAGACTTGTCTTACTATTACTAATCACATACGAGTTCAGCCTTAGAGCTTGGCAAAAATTGAAATCCGAGAAGTAATGTTGGTGAAGAGCCTTGAACCACAGTTTTCATTATTTCGAAAATAATTTGGAGTAAATTGGCAGTCACATATATCTCACTCTTAAACGCGTGGTCTTTTAAGGAGTCTCTTAACTTGAAAATACTATTAATGCACTAGTAAAACGAACTTCAATTTACAAAGACCTTTAAGCTAAGTTCAATCAAATGAACTTGGATAACCCTTTCCTATAGAAGGGATTCATATAACAATTAAATAATCTGCTTAAAATTGATACAGAGAGGGCAAAAGTCACCTCAAGATGAGGTACATTTGGAAATATGAAATTGATGTCATTCAGATCCTAAATCAGGGAGAACGATGCCAATTTCATGAATAGAAAAGTAGATGCTACGATCAGAGAATTTCAATTTAACTCTTACATTTTACGATATCGGCATCTAATTGTCTTACAGGTTGTCATACTTCTTTTGTGGCGGAGCGACTTAAAGAGAACTCACTTACGAATATCTCCTGGGGTCATCTAAGCTTAAAAATTCTATAAAATGATAACTGGGTTGTTTGTAAAGTATATTACTAAAAATTCGTATTGAAAACGCCTTCTTCTCGCGAAGGTTCCTTACGCCTTGTTTCGACTTATATCTTTCCCTGTTGTTGCTTTACGATAGAATTTTTTCAATCTCAAATTTTTGAAATTTGTGACTCACTGCTGCAGCTTTCAGATTCTGTTTTAATTACCCTTACGAAGGAAAGCCTGGTACAATTAAAGTCGTCATTGTCATTTTGATTTGTTTCGTTAACAGCGACCTAGAGTAAGCCTTATTCCTAGTTCCTCTGGGCACTTGATAATAGCTGACATGATAGCTTAAGTTACGAAGTATTGTATTTCATTGATATTTAATTAAAAGGAGAAAGAGAGGTGAGTACTGCGGAAGAGATCGAATATGACAAACAGTTGGTTCATGGCAGCTTGAAGTCAGAAATCAACTAATGATTTATAGACTTTTTTGCCGTATGAGTATACGTTGCCCAGGGTGCACCACGCGGAGTTAAGTCTATCACGCACCCCACACACTAATACATAAATTCCTGATGATCAAATCTCTTGATACACAAGTGGTATAACAACTACGAAGCCAAATTCTATTCCACTGTTCAAGATTACGTTTGAAGCATAGGCTTGGCAGGAGACAATGATTGATTCTTCAATAAAATAAGGAAAATCTGTTTATGACTGACTTACCTAGCTGCCCTTTCTTAACTTAATGCGAAAGAAGCACTAGGCAATTCTTGTATAATTCACACTCGATTCCNGCAACGTATACTCATACGGCAAAAAAGTCTATTAACTGGCGATTGACTTCTGGCGCAGTACTCATCCTACCTTTTCTCTGCCTTCATGTCTGTCTCTTTACATCTGTAATTCACTCTTCTGCTCCCCACCCCTCGACTTTCTCTTACTTTGATGTTCCTTCCCCCCCGGTGAAGCCCGAAGTCAGCTAAAGGGCTAATGATAACTATCAAAACGCCTGCCATTTGAAATAAATATATGTATTAATGTGTTAATTCGGTGACCCCAATCTCTGCTCTCGACCAATTCTCGTCATATATGTCACCTTATTAGACTTCAAATTTAACACTTCCACCTGGATTACCGTCAGAGCATTTCGCATCGATTTCTCGTTTATTCAATAATACATTATTGCCACCCCCCCCCCTTGAAAACAAATAAGGGAGCTCATTTCTGCCGTTATTGACAAAAATCTCGTTTTAGCCCACTTCAAACCTAATCAAGGGAGGGTGGTGGTTCCTCCTCTATTCTGAGTAGTTTTAGCTTTAAAAATAAGAACAATATCGATATTAATAATAAACGTGGGATTGTGATATTCTGATTGGAGGAAGTCCTTATTACAGCAATGAAAAATATAGCAGGTAAAGGGTTGATCTAATAATATTCACATCGCTCATCATATAGGCTATTGATGTATTAGATTTTAGAACATGGAAAATTTAGTACTGCATTTCGGTTACTAAATAACTTTTCTCTTAAAAATTTTTGCTTTGCAGCCAATCAGGAGCTTTGGACCATATACATTTAGTATCAACCAATAGGCATCGTTTAAAAATCTACCTCATTATTCACATATCGCCGGAGGCTTCATTTTCGGCATGAACTTTTTGCTTGCGCTGTTTCTTTTAAATGCTGTGCTCATAGACAATTGCTTATCCGCGATTATTGACAGAAATAGCGATTATCTGTCAGGTTTGCAAATGATTATTGGTGGTCTTAACAAGAATGACAGGGATTTCTCAGAAATAATTGATAAAATTCCTGATCTGAATGAAGTTTTCAAAAGACTGAATGGTACCACCCTTTCCAAAGTTCTTGCCAAGGTCAAAAATCCTGATAGCCTTTTTTACCTCCTTCAAAATCAAGTCCTACTTACTGTCATGCAGAATATTCCTCCAGAGACGTATAAGAGGATTGAACCACGCCTGAACACGACAAAATTGAGACTGCAGGCCATGTGGAAATATAGAGAACCACATGATCCGGGCCCGGTGCCACGTTCAGCTCAAGAATTAATTCTGCTCAAAATGCCAAATATTCCTTTCGCGCATGTGGACGCTCTAGATGGAATTAATGCCAGTGCCCTACATTATATTATCACTAATCATTATGCCCTTCCAACTTTACTTGTTCTTATGCAGCCTAAAACATTGGAGTACGTTTTTAAACATGCTCCCTACGTGATTAACTACATCGTGAGAATGAGTTCTCAAGAGCAATTTGATATTATGTCAAGGTTGCCCGATGCTTGTGGGTACCTTCGAAGTGCTCATTCTGATCAGTCCGAGAGAATAGTCAACAATCTCACATCTTTCGGAATGTGTACTTCTGAATCAGCAACAAAACCACCTAACTCAATTATTGACAACAAATTTACGATGCAATAACGAGTCCAAGTAACTATTTAATGCGGTAATTCTTTTGAATTTTGCTTTAAAATGGCAACTCTATTCTCAATAACATGATCTTTTGCTCTGTAAGTGCGTTCTTCTACAGTGTTTCTCAGGTAAAACTTGCGTAGTCGAGTAATGTCAAAGACACACGGAAATTTTATCAAGGGAATTGCTGAATCCCACTTATTTTTGGCCCTACTGCCAACTAGATTTTGATCACATAGGTAAGTGGGAAATAAATCATTGAAAGGGATCAATAACGTCGTTTCTCCCCTACATAACCTTTATTTCGCTGAACCCAAACAGTTAAGAAGGAATATGTTTGCACGTAGGGTGTGCCTAGTAGGGATGCTGCAAACAACGATGATAAGCCTAGATAAAGAACGACCGCAATCCTGATTAAAGTACAAAAACTTGACAGTAAATGGGTTGAAATGGTGGGAGCAAATGTGGTTGACAAATTATCTAGGCATTGTTAGACATGACGATTGTATTTCACTTAATTACATTGTTCCGAAATTCGTCGAACTATCCTAATTGTACCTGAGGCCTTGGAGACTGTCCATCATAAATAATTGCTAAAAATTTAAACCGAAGATATTTTACTTAATACCTTCAGATGAATAAGTATTTCTATATTGTAGATTGACACAACTGTGCTTGTGAAAACGAATCGCGAAATACTTAGTCGATTCGATAGTATAGGAATGCTTTGGTATTCCTATAAACACCCATTTAAATATCACTGGTCTCAAACTACCCAAATGAAAACTAATTTACTATAAACAAATTACACAAATTTTCAAGACAGTGGTAGAAAAGATATCCTTCGTGAACACCACTAATTTTTAACCATTCGTCTGTATAAAGATTGCGGAAATTTCCATTTGAAGAAGGAAAAAGTATTTGGGAAGTGTTTACTCATAGCGAATTAGCTAATTAAATCAAATATAAAAGATGTCGAGATCAGAGTCAATGAATATGATAGTGCTCAAAATTTTGAGTTGCTTTGGCTTCATTATTTTATACTCAAAAATCATACATGTCGAGAGTCTGGTGAGCTCGAATTCTATTAAAATTTTATGTGCGATCGTTAGTACATTCACTCTCTGTTCATAACTTTCGACTCTACCGGCAACTACATTATGCATGATTACTGTCCCCTCATTTTAATTGAACAGAATAGAGCACTGCAATGTTTGAAACTGATTAATAGATATTATGGATGAAAGTAGCTTTCTTATTAGAGAGACGCAAGGGAGTTGTATTCAACTCCAGCATAAACACTTCAGAACGCTTCCAACACCTTGATTTGGAATTATTACGAAAATTATCACCACCCAATAGTTTAATTGCTTTATTCGAACATTAATTGCAGAAGTTCTTTAAAATTAGAGCAACATTATATAATAGGGAAGTTCTCAGTGTTATCGTTGACGTACCATTCTCTGGGAAGCATTTATCTCAAACCACTTTGGCATCATCAAGATTGTATTTTCACATTGATTGTCATGTTGGGCTTCAGGTAAATATCGGAGATAACGATTGCTCCCATGAATTATAGATCAGAAGAAAATTCGTATTAGGCAAATTAAAGACAGGACGAATTAGAGGCATGTTAGCAAATTAAGTACATCTCTCGCAATGTTCCAAAGATATCTCCACACTTGATTAGAACAACCTTAAGCCAAAATAAAGGTTGCGATGAAAAAATTATTCCAGCCTCTGGCCAAGTTGCGACATTGCGTCATATTCACGTTGCTCTGTGCCTGGCAAGGCACGAATTGCCAATCTGGTAATAAGAGTGCAGTTAGCAACTTCTAGCAATCATTTGGTATAAGGACTGGAACACTTATATGGGAACAAAAGTCACCAACTCAACAATAAATATAGCTTTTTTAAATGCCAGCATCGCATCATACATCGTACAATGAGGTTGATTGGTAGGAACAATTATCATAATTACTCATTTGCGTAATAAACACACTGCAAATCGCAGCCTACGCCAAATTGAATCCTCCGTGACGAGGCGTTCGTCTCAACCAATATGAACTGCAAACTTAATACATATCAAGGAAGAACAGTTCAAGTCAGTGCAAAAGAGATCATGAGCCTGCAAATAGTTTCATTGCATTCAACCCAAACCTCCCATTTTACTATCCTGCTGATTAATTGTTAAAGATTCAAATTGTGCTACAAATTTCATCAGCCAATTGAGGCTTAGAAACGCCGCTTGGCCAATCCTGTTCGGGGACAGCAGCCAACTAGCCAATTATTCTCCTTCCCACCTTCCTCACCCGTCTATATAAAGATAAGTGATTGCATGCCATGTGTCTACCCAGTTTGTCATGAATTTGAAGTTGGTCTTGGCGTCTTTGTTATTTCTCGCATTCCTTGGTGTTTGCATTGCAATTCCCACTACTACTGCCTCCAATGCTACTATCACAAAAGAAACTGGCACCACTAAAGCTCCAGAAGTGGTAAAACAACCAACAGAACAGGAACAAAGCACCGACGCATCAGTAACCACGACAGAAGCGGATGCTGATGATGGGGATGGGGATGGGGATGACGATGAGGAAGTGCTAGGGGAAGCGCGAACGCCAAAACGAGCGCAAGTGCGAGCGCAAGAGGGAGCGCAAGAGCAAGAGCAAGCAGGAGTGAATAACCATTGTGATTGTGCTGTCCCACAACCAGAATGCTGCTATGAGTGCCCTAATTGCTACGAGGCTCCGGATGTGCCATGCGAGGGTGAGGTCATAGTTAGGACGCTGCCAAATATTCCATTTGACTTGGCCTTCTCTTTAGCATATATGCATCCAGAGCTGGTGAACTTTGTCATTAAAAGGCACGCCCACCTTGACTACCTACTTCTCTACACTGATGCTCCCACACTTGAGTACATTGTATTCAGCACACATAA